CGAAGGCCTGGGCCATTCTGGGGCTCATTAACTCCTCTTGGAAAGGGGGGTGCTCCTCTATCCAGTCTGACAGTTCTGCACAATTGCCCTGGGGCTGCGGCGAGGATAGCGTGGGAAAGAGAGGTCACGCAAAGGGAAAATTGTGGTTGCCCAATGGCTGTTATGTCCCCCAAACCATTTAGTTCAGGGACTCTTATTTTCTTTTTTTTAATACAGTGTTTATTTATTTATTTAAATATATCTTTATTGATTTCAGAGAGAGGAAAGGAGAGGGAGAGAGAGAGATAGAAACATCAATGACGAGAGAGTCATTGATCGAGCCCGCAACCCGGGCATGTGCCCTGACCGGGAGTCGAACCCCGATCGCCTGGATCCTAGGCCGACGCTCAACCACTGAGCCACACCCAGCCAGGCAGGGATCTTTTTTTAAAAATATATATATTTTTTATTGATTTTAGAGAGAGGAAGGGAGGGGAAGAGAGAGATATACAAATATCAATGATGACAGAGAGTCATTGATCAGCTGCCTCCTGCACGTCCCCTACTAGGGATCGAGCCTGCAACCTGGGCATGTGCCCTGACCTCCTGGTTCATAGGTCAACGCTCCACCACTGAGCCGCACCGGCTGGGGTAGTTCAGGGACTCTTGAAAGGCCAGCTCCCAGATCAGGCACCGCAGGGCGAGGAGGAAGGGATTTATCTCCGTCCTTGTGGGTCCGAGAGGACCACGGAATCTTGCCTTTGTTATTCCCCTGCCATTAAGGCTTCGGCCTTAACTGCTAAAATATTTGCTGCTAAGAATAGCTGCTTGTTGGCACAGCAAATGTCTCCCAATGCGGGCTTTCGGCGCCTGTCAGGATGATGGAAACCAACACTTGCCGGGGGCCGAGAGGGCGCCCGCTGCTCATAAATGCCCTCCAGAAAGGCCTGCCTGTTGTTCCTGAGGGGCCCCGAGGGTTGCCAAATGGCTTTGGCCTCGAACCTGGGAGTGGCTTTGTCCTGCCCATCACTGGACTCTGCAGCCCATGGGTCGAATCAGTAAGGGCTCGGGGTCCCCTGTGCTGGGTCACGGGCTCTGTGTGCCTGGCTGTGTCCTTGGTGTATGTAGTGTGAGCGTGTGTGTGTGTGTGTAGCATTGTGTGCATGGTGTTCCGGAGCATGACTCTATGTTATGTGCACACTCGCATGCTGGGGTGTCCTGGCTCCAGGCCCCAACTCTCCAGCTGCCTCTGTCCTGACCCGAGGGCACTGGGGAGGGCACGGGGAATGGGCCAGGGCGGCTGAGGCTGGCCGGGGCTGCAGTGAAATAGAAACGGGATCAGGTCTGCGCCCAGACTGAGGGAGCGTGGAGATTCGGACGGTGCTGGGCCCAGGCCAGGATGGTCAAGGGCAAGGTGCAGATGCCCCCAGAATGAGGAGGCACATTAGTTTCACAGGATTTACAAGACGTGGGCCAACGCCTGGGCCCCAGGCCAAGGCTGGAGACACAGAATGGATCACACCCAGCCTGGTCACCTTATTGGGTTTCCCATCCCTGCTCCCCACGAACTCCTACTCATCTCTCAAAACCTTGCTCAGGTTACGCTCCTCCCCAGTCTTCCCTCCTGCCTCTGGAGGACTCCTCTCCCTGCTGCCCACTCCGCTGTGGCCTGTTGTCACGTCGGTATCCGCCGCACTGGGCGAGGCAGGGACAGCCTGGGCCGTCTCCAGGGCCCCTGGGCGGGGGTCAGGCCTGCTTGCTCGGCGGCCTCCATCCCTGGCATGCTGTGTAACGGTGGGCTTGCGCCTTGTGTGGGACGAGGGAAGGGACAAGGTGCTTCTACAGTGTCTCCCAGCCTAAAAGCCCTCTGCACTCCTGTCTGACTGACGGAGACTGGCCAGGGGCTGGGCTGGATGGAGGGAGTGCTTTGAAAAATTCATAGCGGGCGGCGAGGGAAGGAGTATTTTTGTGGAGCCCGCGGAGGGGGGCTATGGACAGAGGCTGCGATGAAAAGGGCATCGTCTGAAGCGCTTTGTGCCATTTAATGTCGCGCTCAGGTGCCCCAGAAGGGCAGGGGCATCAAATATTTACCAGAGCGGCATTAAAAATGAACCTTTAGGAGGTAGCTGTTTAAAGGCCCCGAGCTCCCGGGGAATGTCGAGAAGTCGGGGTGAAGGGAGGGGAGGCAGGCTACATGCAGGGCGTGATGAATGAAGCCCCGAGCGGAGCCGGGACAGCTCCCCAGGGAGCCCCCCCAGCCCTGCGTCTGCAGAGGCAGCTGGTCCATCAGCCCTTCCTGAGCCCCCGCACCCGTCCCCCGCTCTCCTGCTCGCTGCCACACTGCCCACTGGCCGACGTCCTGTCCCCTTCATCGGAGGACTGACTGCCTTTCCCCCGGCGGGTGCCGTCCACGGGGACGGGGCTTCTGTAGGGGTGTGTTTGCTGCTCTACCCCAGACCTGAGAACTGGGGGGACATGCGCCTCCTCTGACTCTGACCCTCCGGCCGCCCTCTTTATAAGGACCCCTGTGATTCCATGCGCCACCTGCTAAGCCGGGACAGTCTCCCCTCCTGAGGTCCTTCATCTGTCCACTCCAGCAGGACCTGGGCCTGGCTGGGGCGTTGATTGTGCCCACCCGGGCCTACAGGGAGCATCACGGGACAGGCCGATGGTCCGTTTCAGTACCTGGACCGCCAGCCAGATCCCC